AAAAAAAAAAAAAAAGAAACACAATAGAGTATGTGTTGCTAAGAAAAGATTAGGTTAAGGAACAGAAAAAAAATCACCTAACACTTGGCTAACCATGTATAGATTATAAGGAAACAAAAAGAAAAAAAGCTTGCCTATGCTTGTTAATCAAAAGGACAAATAAAAAATAATCATATCCTTATGCAAAATGGTATAAATAAAGCTGTCATTGGCACTTTGTCGTGAGACCACCTCTATCTGACTCTGTGTCCTGTCTCTCCATGCGCCGACTCAGTCTCATCCTTTTGGGCAACACATCCCCCGTGGGAGCTGGACTCCAGCAGTGCAACCATCAGTATTGTGAGTTTTCAAAATGGTGAACCACTCATGCTAAAGTTCCAAACAAAGCAACATAACATGCAAGCTTTCCTCATCAGTAGCCTCATTTCTGGAAAATGTAAATGTGAAACTAGGCAAAAATAGTCATGTTTACACATAACACAAAATTTGGTACTAAAATTAGATAATTTTTAAATAGTGGGCTTTTAAAGACTTAAAATGTCTGAGGCATTCAAAAGTTGAATTAAAATTCAAGAAACGTTCTTTCTTGTGCACAATTATCCTGGGCATTGTAGGATCTCTAGCATCTCTGAGCACTGCCCACTGACTGCCAGGAGTGGGCGCTAATCAAACTGTCAAGGTGCTGCCACTGAGGACCACTGCGCTCAGTTTATGAGTTGGCCTTGTGCTCTCTGCCCACTTTCTCAGGCCTGGGGTAGGCCTGACCATGGGCATACCTGTAAACACTGTAATTCACCCCAAAATTCACATATATTGCTTACAGCTCCAGGGGACTGCCTAATAAATTATACTAATAGATGGAGTTAAATGTCTCAGAGAATGCCAACCTTCTACATGCTGACTCTCATCACAGTACCCCTTAAGACAATGTGCACGTGCTCCCTCATGTTTCTCAGGTGGGGGGGGTGGTGGGTGGAGGAGGGCATATCTAAAAGCCAGTGATTTTCCAAGAAAAGGACTTGCATGGCTGGAGGCAGAATGAGAGAACTCCCTTTTGAATTTTGCATGGATAGGTTGAAAATATAAATAAATAAGTGAATAAAAAGGCAGTCATAGGAAATCAGTTGTTTACGAAAGTATTTCAAGTTGAGACTGTGAGAAACTAGAGAAAGATGTGGCTGTGAGAAGACAAACAGAAAGCTGAGCCCTTGGGAAGCCCAGGAGAAGGAGGGCTGGACAGCAGGGATTGCTAGTATTTCTCCAGCAATTTGCAGGGGAAAAAAGCTCTGATTCCAGCATTCTCTTCCTTTGGACCTATCTGCAGAAAGGAGAAAAGAAAGCATGGTTTCTCTGAACCATGTAGTTCTATCTGGTGGCCCTCTTCGGGAAAAAATTGTGAGAATGTTTGATAACTTGATCTGGGTGATGGGTATATGAGCATACACAGATGTCAAAATTCATGGAGCTATATACTGAGATGTGTACATTTTACTGTATGTACTTAAAAAGAGAGAGAAGATAGTAATCACCAGGCTCTGTTCTATGGTAAATCATCCCTTAAAACCCACCAACTTTCCAAACAGCCTGTCTGTACGGTTCTCATGCTTGATTTACTTGGGACCCTGTGCACCCACCATGCCCCCTCCTTCCCCTGCTGGCATTTCCTGTTAGAAATGTAAGAAACATCATTCTGACTTATAAATCCTTTCTTTGTGAGTGCAGTGAGAGTACCTGGATCCTCCAGGCCTTGCTACCTGTATAAGAATCACCAAAGGATACTTTTAAGCCCACACTGTGAACCAGAGGGCTCTCCTCCATGGCCTCCTTGGCAAGTCCTAAGTTTTTGTGGGCAGTAAAGATGGGGTCCAAGATCCTTTCCTCTCCTTCATCAGTGAGTCCAGCAGAGCCCCTCTTCTTTATTACAGTTCTAGAAGCTGTGGTCATGTGCTTCAAAGGTGCTGGGTCCCTTGCCCATCACTCCGTTGTTTTGGATTTCCTTATTCCAGGGCACTAACCTGGGACTGGGTGCCCCATTATGGTCTAAGTACTTGCTGTGCCTTAATTTATTCAATCCTCCCAACAGCCCTGTAAGTTAGGTACAGTTTTTATAATCATCATTCCCATTTTACAGGCAAAGAAAACTAAGGCACAGAGAAATTCAGGAACATGCTTAAGGTGACTCGGCAGATAAGTAGTGAAGGCCAAGTGTGCCCCCAGGTGGTCCCAGATCAAAGCCTGAACTGTTATGTCTGCTCTTCACTGCCTCTCTGGACAGGGGGCCTTCTAAAGCTCCCCACATGAGAATGTCCAATGAAAAGCTTCCCTCCTTCTTGAGCTAAAAGATGCAGCTGGGGTGTACAGAGGTAACTCAGGCCAGAGTAGAACTTGGGTCATATTCAGTGCAATTCCTATTTCCCTGGCTCTCATGTTCTCCAGATTATACAGGACTGTAGCATTGGGAAAGGTTCCTCTATTTCCAGCTGAACTTGGGAACAGCTCTGAGTGTGGCTCCTCCTTTGCACACACAGTCTGAGCTGCTAAGAAACAGGAGTTGGTGTTGGGCCTTGCTCACCCAGAGCTGAAGGGCTGGGAACATCTTTGTGGTGCACCCTCAGCAGCAGGACAGCTGGGGGAGCCCCAGCACTGTGAGAGGGGCTGTGGGGCCTGCTCTATCCCCAACCACCTGGGAAAAGGAAGCAGAAAAAAGGAGAAAATGGCAACAGCTTTCTTCCCATCTCGTTCTCAGGACATTAATGACTAGCAGAAAGCAGCTGCGTGGGAGAGGAGAGCCACGGAGGAGGTGATTTTGGCCACAGTCTAATAACACTGAGGTAACTTTGGTTTTTGCTCTTCTACCCCTGGCATGAGGAACGAAGAGAGGCAGTTTTGTTTTCCTCCAGGAGTAGCTGAACTGTATGCTGGGGGATGAGGTGTCTCTCCTGTGCCAGCCAGGTTGCTCCCAACTAGGGTGGGAACAGTTTTGGTCTTAGAATGTGGGATTCTTGGAAAACATGAGTAGTGTCCAAGAGTAATTTACCTTGATAAGACAATTGAGGCTGGCCCTGACCACTTGCTCCGACTAGTAAATTTGTCACCAGTCAACAATATTTATAAATAGCCATTGTTTACAGGACACAGTGCTAATTCTGTGGGGAGTTCCAAAAGCAGAAGTTATTATGAGTCAGAGTGTCCTCTTCACTTGGTACACTGAGCCCAAGACAGCTTCCATTTCGGGGTTTCAGCTTACGGGAGGAAAACAGGCTAGAAGCCACGGACCAGCAAGAACTGAAGACATCTTTCAGTCATTTCTGCTGATCTAGGTATGTCTAACTGGAACTTTGCTTCGCCCCTTTGCTTTAACTGCCAAGGAACATGAGCCCACATCCTGGGTTTTCCAGGGGACTCTATCCCTTCTCTGAAGCAGCCCTCCACTCCCCATAGGTCAGCTGATGGTGACTCACACAGCCTTACTTCCTGGCCCTTTCAGAAGGCAGACCCATGTTTGAAACCTGACACTGTAAAGACACTTCCCATTTGTGGAGTAGAAGCTCTTCGTCCATGTGCCTGCATGGATTTGTGTTCTTTCAGAAGAGAATGGCCTTCTCCCCTAGGGCTTAGCAGAGGCTGCCATGGATTCTGTGAATTCCCGAGTTCACAAGGCAGAAGCCCAGGTGGTGATGATGGGCCTCAACTCAGCTGGCAAGACAACGCTCCTGTACAGATGGAAGGGCTACCAGCTGGTGAAGACCCTGCCCACTATTGGTTTCAATGTGGAACCTCTCGAAGCCCTGGGGCATGTGTCTCTGACTGTCTGGGATGTCGGGGGACAGACCCAGCTCAGGGCCGGCTGGAAGGACTACCTGGAAGGTGCAGAAATTCTTGTGTACGTGCTGGATAGGACAGACAGAGCCCACTTGCCCAAGGCAGTGTTTGAGCTCACAGAAGTCCTGGCCAACCCCAACATGGCCAGCATCCGTCTCTTGGTGCTGGCCAACAAGCACGAGGCACCTGATGCTCTGTCATAGCCTGAGATCAGAGACAGGCTGGGCCTCGAGAGATTACGGGACCGCTGCTGGGAGCTCCAGGCCTGCAGAGCTCTCACTGGTGCAGGTCCACCTGAGGCCCTGAGGACCTGAGGAGCCTCCTGAAATCCTGCGGCTGCTGTGTCCTCAGGTGAGGGCAGGTGGAGCAGGATGTGGGAAGAGCAAGGTTTACCTGGACAGAGCTTACCTTTGCTCATACAAACTGCAATATGCAGCCTTGAGAATCTTAAGCTCACTTTAGCAACAAATCCTTTTGTGCTTGAACAGGATATTTTCCTCTTGGGACTTACTCTCACCAGTGTTTCTGTTCAAAATCAAGTATTCTTTGAATAATTATATATTAAGGAAAAAAGATACCTCAACTTACTTTAATAACTTTATTTAATAATTTATTAAATACTCTATTTAATAAGTGTGAATTGAGCGATTGTAATAATAGAGCAAGTAGTTCCATAATCATTAAGGCCTAAATTCAGAGAGAGGAAGAGGTTTCAAAATAAAACCAGAATATCATCTGGACATGGTCACAATCTTACAAGTGATTTTCCCTGGTAGCCCATGGGTATGTGCCATGATCACCCTGAGTGCAAGCAGCCAGGATGAGCAGAACTGAGGAGGCCTCTCTGCTCCTAGGATCTTAGGTTTAGACGTTCACCAAGGTGCTCAGCCCTGGACGAGAGGCCAGGCGTTCAGCCCTCTGAGACTCGTCTTACTCACAGGCCTTGAATAGCTCTTCTCTGCCTTGTTGTCATCCTCTGTTGGGTTTTTTCTAAAACTCTTTGTTTTTTCTTTCTTTTTTTTTCCTTCTTATAACATATATCCTTCCTTAAAGATCACATTAATGATTTCACTCATTGATCCATTTATTTAATCAAAAAATATTAACAGTATTGAATCTGGGCCATGAGCTTTAAGTTCTGAACCAGGCCCTTTACATGGGGTGTATGTGTCTGTGTGATTTTGAAGATATATGTAACAGCAGTGCTTCTTTCTCATTACTAATTGTAAAAAAACAAAATTGAACACAGCATCCTAGAGGGGCTTTCAGGTGATCTTTACCTAGAATCCATGAAGCTGCTGAAATTATTTGCAAAATGTTATGCTTTAAGCCATTTCTCTAAAGAAGAAGATCCACCCTTTCATTAGACTTTCAAAGGCATCTGTGACTCCCAAAACTTAAGAATCACTGGTCTGGTCTCGTCCTTCATCCCAACCCAGGGGTACTGTCTATAATCTGAGCATATTAATGGAAAGCAGCTTATATTTGATACCTATTCTCTTGTTAAACATCTCTAAATATTGGATATTGCTGGGAGCTCCAGGCCAGCAGCACTCTCACTGGTGCAGGGCTGTCAGAGGTCCTGAGGACCCTGAGGAGCCTCCTGAAATCCTGCAGCTGCTGTGTCCTCAGGTGAGGGCAGGTGGGGCAGGATGTGGGGAGAGCAAGGTTTACGTGGACAGAGCTTACCTTTGCTCATACAAACGGCAATATGCAGCCTTGAGAATCTTAAGCTCACTTTAGCAAGAAATCCTTCTGTGCTTGAGCATCAAAGAGATGCCCCTTCCTTAAAAATTGATTGGAAAATGCTGCCCACCAGCTCAAGGAGGTATGAGGAAGCACAGATCTATCTTGGGATCTGGGTGCAAAGGAAAAAGAAAAAAAATCACCTGTCAGAAATTGAATTCCTAGAATCTGTTCCGTGAATGGACACAGAGTCCATATTTTCACATGTTGCTGCTTTTTCATGTGAGCTCATCTTCAGCAGGATTTGTTTTTCCTGTGTGATTCCCATGTGCTGGGTTGTGACAATGTTTCTAACACAGAGTGGTTTCACATTTATGTCCACTAGGCTCCTGGAAGTTTCCTTTGTTTCAGACCAAATAATACGTATTATTGGATATTGCATCCTTATAGCTCCTGATGATGCTTCTGACATCTGGAGTGACACAATAGAAATTGGCCCTCTGTACCCTTCCAGTGTCTCAGGTCTGCCAGGTTCCTCTCCCCAAAATCTTCTCTTCTAGGTGTATGTGGTTCTTTCCACTGTTTGATCAATAGATGTCTTTAAGACTGCTTATGTTAGATGTAGGAAAGATGCAAAGGTGAAAGAGGGCCTCTGGCTTATTGGAGCTCTGGTTGGGGAAGCAGTAGGACATAAATCCCATAAAAATGCAGACAGAGACTCAACTCAGTAATTGTTTATTGAGCATGTACTGGGGCTAGGTTCTGTGCCCTATGCTTTGCATACATTATGTCTAATGCTCCCAACTCTGCAAAGTAGGTATCATTCTCCTTCTATGTAATTAGAATCTGAGGCTTAAAGAGGTTGTGACTTGCTTGAGGCACAGAGCTATTCAGTGACATATCTGGAATTTGAAACTAGATATGTGTAGCCCTAATGATGTCTGTTATTCTTCCACAACATTATGCTTCTAGGAGGTTTAAGCTACAGCTGACCTTCAATCAGCAGATGTGATGGGGAAGCAGTCCATTCAGAGGGAGGAAGCTGCTTGGAAGGGCGGAGGTGAGAGCAGGAAAGATAAGTAAGCACAGTGGCCAAACAGGAGGCTGGTAACGAGTGGGTGAGGGGGCATATTACAATGGGAAACACAACTGGGAAGAAAGTTTAAGTCCATGCTGGGGAACACTTCGACTTTCGTAACCAGGAGTTTGGTTTGGGGGAAGTGAAATGATCAGACTTGCCATTTCGTAGGATAACTCAGTGGCAGTGGTGGAGGGTGGAATAAAGAGAAGGGAGACACTGGATACAGGAAGTCAGGGAGACCAGCTAGACAACCATCACAGGGACAGAAGGAGGAGAGAAAGGGAGATGAGAGCATTGAGACCCATTGTTAAGGGGATTAGCAGTCTTAAAAGACATCTATAGATCAAACAGTGGAAAGAACCACATACACCTAGAAGGGAAGATTTTGGGGAGAGGAACCTGGCAGACTTGAGACAGAGGAAGAATTTGAAGAGAGCTCAAGATTTTGAGGTATGTGACAGAAGGGACTGGGATCACTGAGGAGGAGGACACAGCAGGAGCAAGCGGAAACAGGGCTTTGGAAATGCTGGTATGAATGTGTTTAAAGCTTCTTTCAGGTTGTTCCAGTGTCTGCAGTCCTTGAAGGGCCAAGTACCGTGCTGGATCTATCTGCTGGGTCTTGCACACTAGCTCGTTTCTTCACATGTTGCTGCTTTTTAATGTGAGCTCATCTTCAGCAGGATTTGTTTTTCCTGTGTGATTCCCATGTGCTGGGTTATGACAATGTTCCTCCAGCAACGCCGGGCTTCCAGCCTACTCTTGGCTGCTTAGGCTGTGCTTTCTCTTTTCATTTCTGCCATGTGAGGATTTCCTTTTCTTTTTTTCAAGGACATACAGTTTGTTTGCGTCATGGTTCCCCCAACGAATGACTCCATGATGGGAAGGAGTCCATCTGTCATCCTGCTAGCTGTCCTGCACTTGTGTTGATACGTGGCAGGGAGCCTTCCTGAGGTGCTGGCAGAGGAGAGCTAGGATGAGGTCTATGCTTCGGAAGATAACCTGGGCAGCCGTGTTTGGGTGGAGAGGATCCTGCAGGCAGGGAGACAGACTGACGTGTACACATGGGCACTGCTGGTCTGGATGAACACCTGTCACTGCAGTGGCCCACCGTGCTCTTGACATCCCGTGCTTCCTCCAGGCCCGTCTGCTGTCTCAGTCTAGGATGTACTGTGTTCTTGCCCAGCTCCACATGTGTGCTCCTTGCTGGACAAGACAGAGTGGACAAAGGGGCCAGCCGGTAGCTCTGAGTGTGTGGTGACTGCCTCAAATCCTTCCAGGTAGATGTGCTCGGTCTTAATAAGCTCCAGAGAGTCTCCTTGCATTATCCCTCTTTGATTTGGGATTAAGATTTGGGAATAAGAACAAGAAAGCAAAATATCATAAGAACCACGCCCAGCTAGTGCTGCCCTGACTCCCTGCTGTCCCACCTTCTGCTTGCAGGGAGTGAACATAAACCCAGCAGGTGAGTTCTGGGATGTTAACTATACGATTATCTGGATGCAAGGTGGGGTTTGAGAGCCTTGGAGTGCAAGGGCAGCTCTGCCAGCCTTCTGCCTCACTGGCTTCTGCGGTGTGAAGTGAGCCTCAGAATCCCACAGGACGCAAGGCCCTGGGAAGTCCCTTGACACCCCTGTTCTTGTTTAGGCTTAGGATGTGTTCCTGTTTGAGTCCTACTCACTATTTAATGACCCTCAGATCCCCCCTCTGCAGGTAGCTTTGCCTTCACACTTCAGCCCACATTTATCCCCTTCTGAATTCCGCAGGTGCTCACCATCCAGGGCCCCAAGAGTGCCTGAACTGGGGCAGTTCCCCAAGTTGGCATATCGTCTCACCAGATATGGTGTAAACTGCTATAGGTGAAGGGTCATGCCTTACATCTTTTTGACCCTCTTCAAAGCCTGGAGCAATATTAGATATCAAGTGTTGCACATTAAATATCTGGGTGAACTAATGAAAGCTATTGAACAGGGTGTCATGGAAGGGAGTCCCCAGGGCCTCTGAACTGTCCCAAATAAAATCCAAAATATGAGAATTCCAAGAGGCTCGTTGGCCTGAGAGCCCAAATGGCAGCACAAACCTGCACTTCAGACGTCCTCTGCAGTAAGAACAGTGGCAGAAAGTTACACATACTCTTTCTCGCACATGTCACACTCAGAATGACCTGAATTTAGTTTATGTGGGAGAGGGGGTGTTAAGTGGGAGCTGGGTAGGGGAGCACCTGGGAGGAGGGTGCAGGAGGGCTGGCACAGGTGGGTGGGGTGGGGTGTGGGCCATCTGAAAAGGCTGAGCCTCCAAAGGCCAGTGAGGCAGGTGCAGGGCCCTAGAGAAAGGTGGGGTGTGTCCAGACAGTGGACACATCCTTCCTTCTGCTTTCACCCCAACACTGATCCTTTTCCAGAACCTTTCCTGAAGACCACTGGGGAGCTAGACTTGCCTGAAGGAAGCAAGAGGTCAACACCAGCCTTTATGGCAGAGAATTCACTTCCTCTGCTTCTGCCACCCCAAGGGAAGAGCAGCCAGCAGTCAGCAGGGGGCCTGGGCCCTTGCTTCCCTGCCTGAGGCAGTCCTGAGCCCTAGGGGGACACGCAAGTTGGAGGTGAGGAGCCCTTCGGGGGCTTCCCCTCCTGCTCTTCTGCTCAGAGACGTACATTTACGTATCTGTACGTATCTCCATCACAGAGCCACAACACAGCGACCTTAGGAAAAAACAAATCATGTTTTCTGTTTGGTTTTTAAAATGGTGCTCTCCTTACCTGAGAGGTATTCTTCCTGTTCCATTTCACCCACACTTTCCAAATCCATCAGCTGCCCACCGATCCATGAGAGTCAGTGAAGGCGTGGGACTGCTCCAGCCGAAGTGGCTGTAAATGCAGAACTGCACCTGTGTGTTTCCCTGTCATAAAAATGAATCCTTTTTTTTTCTTCTCCAAACACTCTGCACAGTGAAAACTGTGGTACTTTGGAGAGCTGATTAATCTTTGAATATGAGATATGTTTTTCTCCCTTTGTGGCTGACTCATTGATTCTGAAGATCTTTTTCCTTCCTCTCAGGGTCAGAATCAACACTTGATGAGAGTCGGAGGTGCAGGAGTTGCGTTTGGGTTTTCAGCTGTCCCTCCTCGAAGTTCCCCACACTCGCCTCCTGCTGAGGGCTGGGCTGGCTGTGTCTGCACAGTGTACCAGGAAGCCCGAGGGGTGGGAGCCAGGGCCTTGCCATCTCTTCTCATCCTCAGGGCTTCAGAGTGCACGTGGACGGCACCAGCATCCCTGGTTAGGCCACCCGTAAAAGACTTACACTGTCCTCTGAACCAACAGGATGCAACTCAACAAGATGGGGCATGGTGTGTGTGTGTGGGGGGGGAGGGTGCTCCCTTCCAGAGCCCTGCCTTCAACAGCCAGAAGTCCAACAGGAATGATGAGGTGGTTCAGTCTGAGCCTCTCCCTGCAGAATCTGAGTCAGGATGAGAGTACCTGTGAAGATGGGGAGAGTCCCAAGTGAGCAGCAGGCAGGGAGGCCAGCCTTTGCCTGCCACCCCCTGAGACTGCAAGGGCAAATATGAACTCAAAACAAGAGGCTGAATTCTCCCTGTTGAAAGGAAGGGCAGAGATTTCTCCCCTGTCCCTTTTCTTAGAGCATTTTCTTTAGAAAACTTCTGATTGTCTCTTTGAAATGCTTGTAAATCTTTTTAAAAGCTAAATAAGGCTCTTGCCAGCTTTAGGAGTCAGGAAGGTCTCAAGGACCTGAGAAATATCCCTTTGAAATGCAATCATCCAGAGAGACAGTGCCCCTGTTCCCAGTTTCTGTGGGAAAGGAGGACCCTAACTTGGCGGGTGCCCTGTTTCAAGTTGCAGAACTACCTCCTCTCATAAAGATATGAGAAGTTTGATTTTCTTTACATTAAAGCCAATTACCTAGCACAGATGGTGACCCCAGTTACCAGGTGAGTGCGGGGTGAACTTAGTGTGAAGGGTGCTGTCCAGCCCTCTGACTTGAGCGTTCCTTACTGTCATGGAGGC